GGGGGGGGGTTATATTACTTTCTAGTAACAACTCAAATCGTCTACCCTATATGACCTGTTTGTCTTACAGATGGCACAAAACTCTTAATTTAAATATACTTTTAAAAAGCCAGGAAAACAAAATTGTAGACTATACTATTAGATTATGATATTGCTCTCCAGGTTCGCTTCTCGCAGGCGCCTTCCAAGACGTGGCCAATCTGGAGACCACATTAGTGGCGGTGGCCGTGTTCCACGCGGCGTCTGTCTTCACGGTGGTTTTGTGTATAGAGGAGAGTATTCACGACAAGATGCCCAGTGAGGAGGGATATGTGTCTGAAGACAAGAGACACGGGCTGTTTAGGTTTGTTCTTTCATTCTTTCTTTCATTCATTCATTCATTCATTCATTCATTCATTCATTCATTCATGCATTCATTCATTTATTCATTCAGTTATTCATTCATTCATCTCTGAGTTGGACAAACGACAACGGGCTGTTTAGGCTCATTCATTCCTTCATTCATTCATATATTCATTTATTCATTCTTTCATTTATTCATTTTTTTCATTCATTCATTCATTCATTCATTCATTCGTTCGTTCGTTCGTTAATTTCTTCATTCGTTCATTCATTCATTCATTCATCCATTCATTTATTCATTCATTCATTCGTTCATTCTTTGATTTATTCATTCCTTCATTCGTTCAACCATTCATTGTGTATGGGGAAGAAATCCATGACACTTCATCAAAAAGAAGGATATTATCAATATGTCCCTGCGGGCAAGAGACACGAGCTGTTCAGGTTTGTTCATTCTTTAATTCATCCATCCGTTTTTCCTTTCATTCAATAATTTATTCTTTCATTTAACCCGCATGTGATCACTTCCAGGTTTGAAAACCTGCTTAGGAGAGCAGTGTGTTTTTTCCTCAAAATTTTTTAAGCCAAATCTAGGCAAATTAAATCTTCAGAATTTGATGGAAATTAATTTGAAATTGTGTTCTTTTCAGGCTTTTTGATGTTGGTTTTTTTTAAATCGCTCCAGAAAGAGTTTTACGACATTTGCAACACCATTAGGTCCAAAGATATAATTGCGGAAGATAACAGGTGTTTCAAGAGAGTTACAAACACAAAAAGAAAAAGGAGAGATAAGGACGATATTTGTTAAAAAGGGAAAGAAGAAGCAAACTCGAACCACACCTGAGAACCCGCCAACTAACCTCTTTAGGTTTTTTAAAATAAATCTATATGTCTTAACTTCTGCGTTTGTCGGCAGTATTCAAGGTTTGAAGGAGTCGATACGAGTGATACTCCGACCACGAGAGGGCGGGAAGCGAACCCTGGTCCTCACGGCATTCCTCGCCATGTTCCTCAATCAAACGTGTAAAGTCGGCGAGCAGGATGTCACTGTGCTTTTTATACAGGTTGGTCTCAGGTGTCACTGGCATTGCTCTGTAGCAAATTTAATGAGTACCATGTCTTTTTGTTTCGCCTTTTTTTATACGTCGTCGTCGTCCTCCTCCTCCTCGTCCTCCTCATCCTCCTCATCCTCCTCATCCTCCTCATCCTCCTCCTCCGCCTCCTCCTCCTCCTACTCCTACTCTTTTGGTCTTTGCTCCGTGACAAATTCCATGTTGTTTTGTTTCTCCCCTTTTCCACCTCCTCCTCCTCCTTGTCCCCTTCCTCATCATCAATATCATCATCATCATCATCATCATCATCATCATCATCATCATCATCATCATCATCATCATCATCATCATCATCATCATCATCGCAAGGAGAAATTAGCAATCGGGTATTTCCTAGCCTCTCGCACGCACAATTACAACACGTGAAACGTGATACCTAAAAAAAGCTAGTCAACAAAACCAGGCTCGACAAGATTCGAAGAGCCACCATTAGAGAAATGTTTTGAAACAGGGAAGCTCAACATCACGAGATTATTCATCAATAAAGCAAAAAGATAATTATGTTGTTGGTGATTGGCGGGTGCTCCGGTGTGGCTTGCTCCTTTTTTCGTGTGAATCATATATTTTCATAATTTTTCACCTCCTGTTTTTTTTTTATCTTTCCTTTTTTTGGGAGGGGGGGGCCTTTAGTCTTTAGCACTTACAAAATGATCTAGATCAAATTGTGTTGAAAGTGCCGTAAAACTCTTACTAAAACTTTCTTTAAAAAAACTAAAAGCGAGGGGAAACACCAAATGCATTTTGTAGGTCAAGTAAGTTCTAAACTGAGTGTTGTGAGTATTGTAATTGACTATGACCCAATACAGCAAAGTCAAATACCGCGAGTTCCTCAATTGAAGTGTTTACCAACCGGTGTATTCAACTCTTTCTTCCGTCGGCGAATCTACAATGGGGTTGTTTTTTTTACCCTGATCTGCGAGAGGAAGTGGTTTTCTGACTTCTAAAAATACAATGTATTAGTTTCCACTCTATCAGCAGTGGTTACTCCCAAAATACAATTGGTCTCGTGGAGTGAAGAAAATAGTCCTGCCATGCCCACTGTTACCAACGACTCTTTGCCTATAAAAAGGTTCCCCTACCATCTACTCTAAAATCGATATTGTTTTATAGAAATATCCCCTGGTTTGGGCCCCCACAGAATCTGGTGCCAGATCGTGTTGTAATGTCTTTCTCCTAGAACAAACTGCGAGGGCCTGGTAAACGGAAGTGGGTGTGGAGAGGGGAGTGCTCAGCCATAACATGGAAATCAATAGGGCGCTAAATGATGATTATTACGTCATCAGTTGTTGAGATTGTATACCGCTGTACACGCAGAGAATACATAAAGGGACTGACCTCTAGAAACAAAATCATGGAATTAAATCCCTTTTCACCTATTTTTTTTCCTGGGGAAAGTATAGGATAGATCATTGAACTC